CATCTTTCCCATTCAGACTAGAATAAATGCTTTTCTGGCTGTGGACCAGCACACAAACACACACTCGGAAAAGGAGGAGGAGGGGGAGAAGAGATGCAGGAAGTACTCAGAGACCTCCTTTATACATTTATTGGCCTTAACTGACAACACGGATCCTGTTATTAAAGATCCCATGGCAAATAACAGCTCCTTTCACTGTTATAAAACACAGGGACTACCCATATTATGACAGGGAGACTCTGCAAGGGCCCTACTTTGCCTATTTTGACATCCAGGAATTCCATTGTGATTTTTAAAAAAGTAAGTATAAATAATGCAAGCAAATAAAACACATTGCATTCACACCCATACCTCCTGCTGTGTTCAAGGAAGGGAAGGAGTGGACAGGTCAAAAGGACAGAATGGTGAGTAAAGTCATCAAGCTGCACCTCTTGGTGGGGAGCAGCCAGATGAAAAAAGAACAAATTTGGGGAGAGAGGTGCTTCAGAGCTATCACTGTATAGCTGGGCATCAAAAATTTGGGCAATCACTAGTTGGCAGCAAAAGAAGGGGAAACAGCTCTTTGATGCCATCTGGCGGTCTTCCATGGTATTGCCTACAATAAAATATTTTTTAAAAAATGGGTACAGACCCTACATTGCAATTCTGCAACTGATTGAAAATAGGAAAGGCAGCAGCTATGGCTTCATTTCATGGCTTAAGGATGACATGCAACTTGTGTGCAAAAAGGCTGTTTTCTGACTCTGTATAAAGCATAAAAATGGGAAACAACCTGGTGTGTTCACTGCTCTAGAACTCAGAAAAAAGATTCCAGTTGCTCCCTCTGTGACGATAACCTCCATCTAGAACATGGGTGTCAAACTCAATCGCGTCATGTGACGTATTGTGACGTATTGCAACATTTTTTGTCTTTGTGGAGCCAGGGTGGGCGTGGCCTGCGCATGACGCATCCAGCCCGCAGGCTGCCAGTTTGACACCCCTGACCTAGAAACACTAAAGAGAAGATGGAAGCAGAGGAAATGGATCTCTAACTTCTAGGACCAAAAGGGACTGGTAAGTTTCCTCATTTTCTGGCTGGAAAAAAATATAAGGCAAAAGGGGAGCCACTGTGTTCACCTTAGGAAATAAACATATGTATTGGGATTACAAAACTCCCAGAATACCCAGCTATTCTGCCAAAAGGCTGGAGATTATGAGAGTAGAAAGCCAAGCCGCCTGGAATCCCTTTGAGAAAGAATGCAAGTCATATTGAATCTCATAGCATCCATTACATGATGAGTGAACACTTTCCTATTAAGTACTTTTCCTTATCATAGCTTCTCTACTGATAGAGGAATTTTTGTGATCACTGGTAGCCAAAATTAGGCAACTCCCAATACTTTTACTTTTCATCTTATTCCCGGAGGATTGCCAAAAGTTCTGCTGGGTCTTCTGGAAAAGTGTCTCATTCTTGCTCTATCTTGTTAAATGGAGAGCTAATCACGTACAGTGCCACAGATGTTAGACAATGCAGGCTAGATTCATCAAATATATGCACATATTCCCATTCTTCTCAGAGCTTTTTGGGGGGGGGCAATGTCATGAAGTGTGTCTCCCTGATGCCATTGTTACAGGTCTATGACAACTCATCATGGCCAACTCGCCACAGCCAACTCATCATGGCCAACTCGCCACAGCCAACTTGCCATAGCTAACTTGCTGCAGGACAACTCACCATGGCCAACTCACCACGAGACAATTCACCACAGGATAAAGAGTTACACTAATATTGAAGAAATAGACTCATTAAAGAAAGGATGCCAAAGGAGGGACAAAATGATGAAATGTGAGTGACACAAATTTAAAAAATTCTTAAAATTATTTTAAATAATGAAATTGAATTGTTGAATTGTCCCACAGCAAGTTGTCCTGTGGCAAGTTGACTATGGCGAGTTGTCCCACAGATAGTTGGCCGAGGTGAATTGGCTGTGGCGAGTTGTCCCATTCCGCAGTTACCACCTCAACGGCTCTCTGGCTTCTCCTTGCAATAACTTTGTGGTGCAAAGAGGGAACAGAATGATTTAAATCTGCCTGTGAGTATCTGTACAATTTGTACAGAGTTGGGTGGTATTATATAGGGTTTCATAGCCATCAGCCTTGTGCAGGGGTAGGCCACCTTGGCTCTTTTATGACTCATAGACTTCAACTCCCAGAATTCCTGAGCCAGCATGGCTCAGCATGGAAACCTCTCCATTTCTCCTCAGCATGGCTGGCTCAGGAGGAATTCTGGGAGTTGAAGTCCACGAGTCATAAAAGAGCCAAGGTGGCCTACCCCTGCCCTTGTGGATTAGTGCCCCTCTCAACCGTATAAGGAGGGAAAGGCCTGGTGATAAGCTTCACTTGTTGGGAAAATGGTGACAGGAGTTGCAGACATGACCGTAAATGTTTGTCCAGTTATTGCAGACCATGTTACCGCTATTCTCCCATACGCAATCTGAAATCAAATAAGAATTAATAGCAAATGATGTTTGTCTTATGCCTCTTCACTCCCATTTCTCTTACTGCTTTCCATCTGATAAGCTTCTAAAAAAAAAGAGGAAATGTTATTTGCACATTCCTTTGGGGCAGTTAATGAATTCTAACTTGTTTTTAATCAAGCAGCCAACAAATACAGTAAGACAATACCCAGAGCGATGCAAATGCTGGGGCGGGAGATGTAAAATCGAAATCCAACTGCCTGGGTGCTTACAATTTACCTTCTGTCTTTAAGATTTTCCCAGAAATGTCGAGAGTTGAAATCTGCTGTGGAGGTAGCACTTTTCCTCCCTGGGATGCAAAGAAACACCCATCTTCTCTCCATTCCACAACAGCTCTATCTCCTGCCTAACAAGCCTTGCCAATTTTGCCCCTAGAGGCAGATCCCCATCTGCTAAACCCGGGAGTAACTAATTTAAAGAGTTCTTTCTCGTCACACATGGAATTTTAATGAAGTTAGCTGAACCCCCTTCCTGCTCACTTTGTTGACTGCGCTTTAAGAATATCAATACACAGGCTTACAAAGAAAACCCTATTAAGACTTGCAGCTAGCGGGGGTCTCATTTTGGAATGCACTTGCTAGCGTGCATTAATTCTTTCTGTTAGTCTCAATCAAAAGGAGCTTTCCTGAGACAAATGGAAATACGGTGAAACAGCAGCAGTAGCAGCAGCAGCATTTTTCTGATAGCGTTTTGACATCTTTTCCGCTGGAAGAGATGCAGGTCATCCGTGCTGATCCAGGCTCACCTCAAAGGATGCCTGGACCCACATCGTCCCTTCAAGGTTGCATTTCTGGCATTCGGACAAGGCAACTTCCAGATCTCAGAATGCAGCATTTGGTGCCAGAGGAAAACCGTTATCTTCCAACTGGGAAATTCTGCATTAAAATGGCCATCAAATTTCTAATGGCCTTCTTGATCTCAATTATTCTAGATGGAAACATAGTGGCATTCTTCTTCCTTAGCCAGCTTCATCAATTTCAAATACTGTAGCTTCCTTATCAAGTCAAGAAAAACATATTTAAGTACCTGTTTCAGCCTCTCTCTCCCTCCCCCCGCTCTGAGTTGCTTAGAGAAAGGAAGATAATAACAAGTACAGTACGCAGAGTGTCTATTCTAGATAGCTTTGCATATCCCATTTACTCAAGACATTCAATCTCAATAACCCTACGGATAACCACTAGATTAGAAGGTAATAAAGGTATTTTTTTTAAAAAAAAACTCTAATACCATGTATTATTCATCTGGAGTACTGCAGAGGTATCCTTAGACTCAGTGAGCCGAGTTGCTCTTTTAACTAACGATTCCATAAAACAGTTTCAGCTCTTACATCGAGATGTTGATTTCTCCCTCATAGAAGCAGCCCAATGACAATGATGGAAACAAAAATTAGTTAAGATTAAGCATGGCTCTTGGATAGTTCAATGTTTTAAAATTCATTTATGCTTTCATCTATGTGTCACATACTCCACGGAATCCAGACAATTAACATTATTAAAAGATAAACTTTGAAAAAGTTAAAAATGCCTCTCTAAATGACGCTTTCTTCCCCCGTGCAGACAAGTCCCCACATCTACTTGTCTTGCAGAAGTCCCCACTGCCTTCCAAAATGTAGGCAGAGGAGTCAGACTAAACCAGGGGTTCTCAACCTTGGCAACTTTAAGACTTGTAGACTTCAACTCCCAGAATTCCTCAGCCAGCAAAGCTGGCTGAGGAATTCTGGGAATTGAAGTCCAGAAGTCTTAAAGTTGCCAAGGTTGAGAACCCCTGGACTAAACTCTCATGGGGGGGTCAGATATTCCATCACAGAGATGCTGCTACTGAAAAGCCTTGCTTCCGGGTACCCTGATTTTCAGCATGTCCTCTTGATCGGGATAGCGAGCGGGTGGGCATATTTTACCTGGTCCTGAAGGCAGCAAAGACCTATCTGTACACTACCCAGAGTCACTCTATGAGCCTCTTGTAAAGAGTTGACCTTAGTGGAAGACATTATATTGGCCTAGTTTGCAACTTTTCACCTCTTCTATTCATAGTAAATAGTGCTCTACGTTGGAGTTAACAACAAGCTCACTGGAATAAACGAGAGAGTCCCATTCTGAGAGTCCCAGCAGAAGATAGGGTACTGGGTCTCATCTGCAAAAATGCAGATAATGACTAGATAGCAACCAAGAGTTAGTTTTCTCAGTCTTTTTGCTGCAATCTAACAGCCAGGTGGATTTGTGTATCCCAGATATGTTAGCCCTAACACAACACACATTTTTCTGATACATTGTGGTCCACTGTGGTCCATTGGGAGGAGAGGATGGTATCTGTGTGTGTTTAAATAAGAGGTGGTCATTTTAAGGTGTCCTTCCTTGCTTGGGGGGGGGGGCATGCAAGAAAACACAAGAAGTTTTGAAGAATAGCCAAATAAGTGATTGATCCAATACTGCCCTCTTCTGGCAGAAGGAGAAAAGATGTGCACAAAGAAATGATAGAAAAGATAAGCCACTAGAAGAAGTACATTTTATTTCACTGATACCAGCCTTGACAAAGATCATGGCATACTTCTAGATGTAAGCTGTTAACTGATTCAGTCAATTATGTATGCAGGTTAAAATACAGTATTTGGTAATAAAACTCAAGCTGCCACATATGTATTTCATCCTAGAAATTTGACAAAAGATTTTGAATATGCAAGATAATTCACATTTGAATTAGATACCTATCTCTTGATGGCTCCATCAACTGAGTGATGATGACATGAATTGGTAAGGCAGCCTTCCCACCTGGATATCCTCCAATCCAACAGTATTGGAGTACAGGGCCCCACATTTTCATATGGCATCTTGACATATTTATTGACAATTAATAGCATCTGGAGACAAGTACGAAAGAAGGCAAATATACGTTTCCCAAGTTAATGTTGTAGGATCCAATCTGGTTCAGTCACCGGGACGAGCGGTTTAGTCTTCCAAGTTTTCGGACTTGTGCTGGAGCCCATCCTCAGAGAACTTCTCCCTAGCAGAGTGTGAGCTGTTCTATGTGTGGTATTTATAGTGCCTGTTGTATGTGGTTTTTTTAGATGTTGACTGGGGTGGGTTGATGGCTGGCTTGTAAGTCGTTGGCTGTCGTTTGCTTGTGCTGCCCAGCCCTCGTCTTCTAAGTACTTGAATAGGCTGGTGGTAAATCAGCACTCCTGTTGACTTGACGAGGGGCCTGTTTCCCAAGCTTCAATCATTTCCCTGGCTGTTTTTGTGCTTGCTCATCCAACAATCTTAGTAGGTGCAAAACTAAATGTGTGTCCTTTTTCATCGCCAGTGTGAGGCTACCAATGAGTTTGGGTCTCCTGATCTGACCATTTGCTTGTATTCTTGCAATCTGGTGATTAGCTTTCCCCTACGTATCAGAGGCAGGGGATTCGGTAGATTACATTGGAAGTACCTCCCACCTCCAAATAATCTTTACAATGCATAAATTGTAACGATGAGTACATCTAGAGGACAGCAAAAGGCCCAGGGAGGGTGAAATCTTGGTTGAGATTGAGGGCCAAAGGATAAAGCAAGGAGCTGAAGGTGGACAAAAAACTAGCACCCTTCTTGTTTAAGCAGAGTTCCAGCCCAACAAGAAATCTTTTTTTATCTCCCTTCATGTTTATTCACTTCTTTGATTTCTGACCTTCCTTTCATTTAAAAGCTGTTGGGGGCATATATAGCACTCCTTTCTCCCCTCTTCCCCAATAAGCTAGACTGAGCTGGGAATGAACATGATCAAGCTAAAATCCCTAGCGATACTGGAGTTGATACTGGTTTTCCCTAGTTCCTAATTCAACACCTTAACCTGGTGCTTCCCAAACTTGGTTTTTCTTTGGATAATTACACACAAACCCACTGCCCAATCATAACAGGGACACTAAAATACTGAAAGTGTTTTACTGTAAGTAAAAAGGGCTTTCTGGGTAATGAAGGAACTATGAAGTCTCCACCAGCTTTGAAGCCAGGTGCAACCGAAACATGAAAGCTATCACGGAATTAACATTCACAATTATTGCAAAGATTAACTTCCAGTGGCCCCTTTGGGCTAAATTCTGTGCTTTCAGACTGGGATTGCAAAGCTACCTCCATGTCCACAGATGAACTGTACAACAGCATATCTTCTTTTAAACTAATGGACTACCTATATATACAATTGGAGTGATTGCTTCCCATGAATTCAGCTGTAAAAAGCATGGCTGGCTAGGGAATTCTGGGAGTTGAAGTCCACATATCTTAAAATGGCTAAGGTTGAGAAACACTGTTCTAAGCTAAGGGCTTCCTGATCAGCAAAATCTAGCAGGTGGTCCTTCTTCTCTTCTCTTCAGTCTTAGCACTTTATGCTTTCCTAAGAGGGCCACAAGCACTGAACAATTAAGTAACTGGCATATAATCAGCTGGATGACATTCCTCCAGATTTTACTTCACACCCACGATCCTAATTCTACCAGACTGCTAAGGATCCAAAGAGATTTTTTTCTTTCTTATTTACAGCTTTGCTTTACGCCCACACATTGCCAGGGTTTCAAGGCACTCCTTAACCAGCCAAGTTGCCTCCTTGGCAGTACCCTGGTGTATTGAAAAGCCACCTCCTCCATGGCCATAATTGTGAACCACCAGCAACTTCTCACTCTTGTGGGTCAGTACCTCTTTCTGTAGTCTCACAGCTGACCGAGATGGCCTCAGGCCCACCTTCACTTGTATATTCTCAGCTGTCCGAAGTGAAGGCTCAAGTGTGGAACATCTATCAAATATATTTTTGCTGGTAACGGGATCTGGGGACAAACTCCAGTTGTCTTTTTCTCTTATCCCACCTAATGTTACATTGTGTATCCCTGGATAGATGTAGGTCAGACCATCACCATCGCGAATGAAGTGCTTGATCCAAGGAGCGTGAACCTTGAGAACTTGCCCTCTGATGGGGTGTACCTCTAGGTCTCCTGCAAGTTTTCGGGAACCAATGCCTGAGCAGTTTACTACGATGTCAAAGTCACGGTATAGCTCCCAGAGATCTTCTATTTTCCTAGTCCATTTTCTTTCAGCCTATAAAGAATATGTCAGAGGTAAAAATATGGCACTTTTGAATCCTCTATCGGTAATGTTTTACTTAGATCATATAGTTCAAAGAGTGAAATCACAAATTTGAAATGCAAAATTGAAGTAATAATAATAATAGTAAAGTTGGAGGAACCTTGGAGGTCTAGTCCAACCCCCTGCTTAGGCAGGAACCCCTATACCATTTCAGACAAATGGCTGTCCAGTCTCTTCTTGAAAACTTCCAGTGTTGGAGCATTCACTGCTTCTGGAGGCAGGTTGTTCCACTGGTTAATTGTTCTCACTGTCAGGAAGTTTCTCCTTAGTTCTAGGTTGCTTCTCACCTGTTGCTTCTTGTCCTGCCTTCAGGTGCTTTGGAAAATAGCTTGACTCCCTCTTATTTGTGGCAGCCCCTGAGATATTGGAACACTGCTATCATGTCCCCCCTCGTCCTTCTCTTCATCAAACTAGACATACCCAATTCCAGCAGCCGTTCCTTATATGTTTTAGCCTCCAATCCCCTAATAATCTTTGTTGCTCTTCTCTGTACTCTTTCTAGAGTCTCAACATCTTTTTTACATCGTGGTGACCAAAACTGGATGCAGTATTCCAAGTGTGGCCTTACCAAGGCATTGTAAAGTGGTATTAACACTTCATGTGATCTTGATTCTATCCCTCTGTTAATGCAGCCTAACACTGTGTTGGCTTTTTTGGCAGCTGCAGCACACTGCTGGCTCATATTTAGGTCTTTATCCACTAGGATTCCGAGGTCCCTCTGACAGTTACTGCTATTGAGTAAAGAGAGGACCAAATCACGTATGTGTGTCTGTCCGTCATCAACATCGTGACACAAATGAACACATTTTGAACTGTGCTTCATTTGTACCATACTGTATCACAGGATACAAACTATGTAATTCAGATGGGGTGTCATTGTGGTTTCTACCAGATACCTATGGCACAAATCCCACCGCAATGACAACCAGGAGGAAACATGCATGTAGGAAAACAGTGCGGGATATATCCCATTGCCTTTTGTTATCAGCTTTCAGCTACAAGTCCGGCTAATTAGGAAAAGCACTTTATCAAAATGATATAATATCTCATTCCTGAAAAGCTATTATTCAATTAGCAATTAAAATTATGACTAGTGGTATTTTTCTAAAGGAAGGATTTGTGTTTTTGGAGGGAAGAAAAGATTTTGAATAGCGTTATGAGAAACGTCCAGCTAATTATAGATCCTCTTTTGGATCCCTTCCTTAATATGGATCCACAAAAAGTGTTGAGTTGGGATCCAAAGAATCACACTGAGTTCTACATGCCCACAAAAAATGGTAGGTTTTTGTATATTGAGGCTTAATACCACATGGCCATTGTGCAACTAAGTTTCAGGGTACTGCGTAATATACAAGGGTCATCCAACCGAGGAACCCAAACTGCACAAAATCTGTTTCAAACAGATTCTGATTTCTATGAAAATCATGATGAAACCAATAGTGCATAAAAGTTTCCCTGGGCCTCTTTGCCTTTGCAGTATGTCAGACAGTACAGGACTGATATTTTGGTTAGATCTCAGTTTGCATGTATTGGTCTAGTCCAGGGGTAGGCAACCTTGGCTCTTTTATGACTCGTGGACTTCAACTCCCAGAATTCCTGAACCAGCCATGCTGAGAGGAAAGGGAGAGGTTTCCAAGCTGAGCCATGCTGGCTCAGGAATTCTGGGAGTTGAAGTCCACGAGTTATAAAAGAGCCCAGGTTGCCTACCCCTGACTATACAGCCCTTTACTATTAGTTGGTGTAAAAGGGAATCTAGGCTAATATAATCTAAACTAGCAAATGGGAACAAATTTAAACTTAATGAAATTTAGGTGGTCTATAATTACAGTATCTCTTTAAAAGAAAGTTAAATTCAGCTAGGAGGAGGACAGACTTTTCAGGCAGAAATTGTTTCTCCCTATCTCTATTTGCCAAGAGAGGAAATAGCAATTGAAGAGGAGAAGGGTGCTTTATTTATATAGAGCCTTTGCCAAGCATTATGAGTCAATCAATTGGTCTAGTTTGTTTCTTGGCAAATGTTAGTTTCACTCTCAAGCCAAAATGTCCCAAATTTTTATTTTTGCAGTAGAAATTCACAGGATTCTATAAGAAATGTCTATTCTTCTTTACAATATAGATTGGGAAGCTAGTGGGTAAAAGTACGGTTGGTTTCTGCTCAAACACACAATCCTCTTTGGCCCCAACATTCTGAGAAGTCTGATTTGGCAAATCTGCTCAGTTAATAAAAAAGCAACCATTACAACTTTCTACGAAGGAAGGAACTTCTGCCTGATTAGCTACCCAGAGCATTCATCCCAGAGCTCTGGACTGCTTAATGAAGCATGTGAATCTTGGTTTGATATTAAACAATATCGTCACAGGGCATATTTGTTAAACCATTTCCCAGTTTGTGCCAACATGCAATCGTGTTAAAATCTGAACTTGGCAGAACTTTTTATAATTGAATATACTTGCAAGCTACGCTACCTTGCCTCCCAAAGAAAATTCTTATTATCCACTCTAGCAGGGGTCCTCAAACTTGGCCACTTTAAGACTTGTGGACTTCAATTCCCCAGCCAGATTCTGGGAGTTGAAGTCCGCAAGTCTTAAAGTGGCCAAGTTTGAGGACCCCTGCACTATAGTGATTCATGCCTTCCAGCCACGTGGTTATTACTGATTCCCTATGGGTGTCTTTTGATAAAGTACCAGAAATAATGGCTGGGACACTGAAATGATGTTTAATAAATTGCACATTTATCAGCAGAAATTGTAATCGTGTTTTTCAGCTCACTGGACCTGGACCTATCGGCCCTCTCTGCAGTGGGATTTGTGCCACGTCATTGCACTGAGGAAGGGAAACGCCTGTGGGAAATCACAAAAGAATAAAACAGAAATGAGAGGCAGCAGAGGTCTCTGCTCATAAGTCCACCTGACAAATATTAAATGGATCCTGCAGCTTCACTGAGTATCAGTACTGTGTTCAGTGTTGTTCTAAAAAATGAAACATGACAAGGCCTGTGTGTCCCAAGAGACAACAGGTAGGATTGGGAGAAGAAAAAGCACTCGTGGATAATTACTGTAAAACAAGAAGCCCAGAGCTGAGTACGGTATACAAAACAGCAATACAACCTAATGACCAGCTAACTGTTGGCATTATTTGACTTGTACTCTCCATCACTTCACTCTTGAATACAAAATAGTAAAAATGTCCAAATATTTAAAAGGGACTCTGTCCCTGTCTTCCTGACCAGAGTGCCTCTAGATATGTTGGGCCACTAGATATCCAGCCTATCCTATCCAGCCAGCATTATCACCAGATAACATCAGCATTATCACCAGATAGCATCTCAAAGAACATCAGCTTGCCCAACAAGTTGGTTGCTGATAAACTCATGACTAAACACCAGACAATGCGTGTATTATTTAGGCATAAAAAGTATCCTTGATGTAAGATGAAAGGAACTAGTTTAGATCCAGTCATAAGTGCAGATGTAAATGCTATATGATGCCTAGAGAAAAAGGAGAAAAAGTACTTTGCAATAGTGATTCAGAACAGAATTAATTTAGGCACATTAAGATCCAGTTTTGGTCACCACAATGTAAAAAAGATGTTGAGACTCTGGAAAGAGTACAGAGAAGAGCAACAAAGATAATTAGGGGACTGGAAGCTAAAACATATAAGGAACAGCTGCTGGAATTGGGTATGTCTAGTTTAATGAAGAGAAGGACAAGGGGGGACATGATAGCAGTGTTCCAATATCTCAGGGGCTGCCACAAAGAAGAGGGAGTCAAGCTATTCTCCAAAGCGCATGAAGGCAGGACAAAAAGCAACGGATGGAAACTAATGAAGGAGAGAAGCAACCTAGAACTAAGGAGAAACTTCCTGACAGTTAGAACAGTTAATCAGTGGAACAACCTGCCTCCAGAAGCGGTGAATGCTCCAACACTGGAAGTTTTTAAGAAGAGCCTGGACAGCCATTTGTCCAAAATAGTATAGGGTTTCCTGCCTGAGTAGGGAGTTGAACTAGATGACCTCCAATGTCCCTTCCAACATCATCATCATCATCATCATCATCATCATCATCATCATCATCATTATTATTATTATTATTATTATTATTATTATTATTATTATTATTATGGATCATCGCACAGTCAGCCAGATGTTCAGACTGGATTTGGCATTTTGTCTACCTATCGAGTCCTTACCCAGGACCTGGGATAGGCAGATGTGGATGTTTGATGGTATTATAGATATCGTCAAACATCCACATCTGCCTATCCCAGGTCCTGGATAAGGACTCGATAGGTAGACAAAATGCCAAATCCAGTCTGAACATCTGGCTGCTATTATTATTATTATTATTATTATTATTATCATCATCATCATCATCATCATCTATAATAAATGGTCTTCTACTTGACCTTGTTAGACAGTCCACTTTACTGACTTGACAAAAGGACAGACACCAAAATGTTACACTCTTTGGAATCTGAAGCTTTCTCCTGAATGCATGCTGGCGTAACAAGTATTTCCGTCTAACTTTGCCATTTCTCATATTCTAATTTCCCAGATTTTGTTGGATCTGATGTACTGTGTGGTGGTGAAGAAAAAACACATCTCAGGGCAGAGTGACACAATTGCTGATTCCTGCTTTTAAAGTCATAGGTCTGACTGAGAGGAATTTTACTCTTGGTGGGACATATTTTAAAATTACTTGCCTACAATTACCCATTAATAGTAACTTGTAGATTTTTAATAAGAAAAATTCTCTCTTATCCCTGAATCTATGTGTAAAAGTTAATTTGTGAATACTATATTAAAAAAAGGCATGCTCAAGATGGAAACCTTAATTGACAAAAGACTATATTTTATTTGCTTGCTGGGATCTGTTCACTACAATAGTCATTCCTAAAAGCTAGGTCTTATCCTGGTCCAGCATTATAAAGTTGACCTATAATATTGACAGGAAAGGTTCAATGGAGTGGGAAAATGAAGGATTAAGTGTAAAATGCCCCAAATGATTTTGATTAGTGGTTCCCAACCTTTTCTATACCCCGCACCCCTGGAATGCTTCTGATATATTCTCACACCCCTTACAAAAGTTCAAAATAACGGCAATGAATTATGCATATACACTATAATTTTGAAAACCCAAGTTTTCGCACCCTTGGAATATCGTCTGGCACCCCCAGGGGGGTGCAAGCACCCCTGGTTGGGAACCCCTGATTTAGATCATATTTCTTTATTGTATTGCTACATTTCAGTCTAAAAAAAGTGAATCAATACCCATACCTTTTCTCCAGCCAAATTAAGTATGATGGGCAATCACATTTCAGTGTAGTAAAAGCTTGACCATATTTATGCTGTGGAAATTTCTTCAGCTCCTTTTCAGTCATTGAGCGAAAGCCCAGAACCACATCAGACCAGAATGGGATCTTCTCCTCAGGAATGGCCTTAAATATTTGCCAGCTTGTTCATATGCAAAAGAATAAAAATGTAAACATAGACATTCTAGGTCAGCGGTTCTCAACGTTTGTGTGACGGCGACCCCCGTCACACAAACGTTGTGCGCATGCGCGGCGCGGCTGCGCATGGGGGCGGGGCCCCCGCGCGCGGCGCGCATGCGCGGCGCCACCCCCCGTGCGGCGCGCATGCGCGGCGCCACCCCCGGAGGCGCACCGCCGCCCCCGCACGCGCATGCGCAGTGGCGCCCCCCGGAGGCGCGCCGCCGCCCCCACGCGCAGCGCGCGTGCGCGGCACCGCCCCCTCGGAGGCGCAGCGCGCCCCCGGAGGGGACAAAATGGCGGATCGCCGCGTTTGGCGACCCCACAAAAGAGGTCGATCGACCCCAAATGGGGTCGCGACCCATAGGTTGAGAACCGCTGTTCTAGGTGTTAAGAGTTTCTCCCCGCCGTGAAATAATTTTTCAAAATCAAGTTTTTAAAAATTCACCAAATAAAACCAGCAAAGTTGAGTTCCTAATCCACATGTTAATATGATGTTTAGGCACCACCAATCAAACTGTATGTTTCAATTATCTTTAAATAGATAAAACCTGCCGTTCCCTCACTGTTTCCAGGATGGCTTCGCGGGCCACATGAAACCACTTCGCGGGCCGCATCCGGCCCTCGGGCCTTGTGTTTGACATGTCTGATCTAAGCCTTAGAAAATAAAGATAATTCACTCTTATAAAATAGGAGAAGGCTGTTAAATGATTCCAGGCTGCAACTTCAACCAGGAGAAATATTGTTTTAAAAGTGTTAAACTGAACTCCCAAAGTCAGGAAAAAAACAAGAATGGGGAGACCAAGAAAAACCTCTGCTAGAGCTGTATGGAGTTTTATATGACTTCTCACATGTGGGGTATAGTACATGGGGTCATGTAATGTTATCCCTCTGCTTGGAGAGCTTAAGCGAAAGTGAACTGCATACACATAATTCTGATGCAGCTTCTAGATATCCTTTCCTGCAACTGCTGAGCCTTAGGAATTGGATAGCTTTTAAAGCTAATGCAACATATATAGTCATCTAAAGTGTGATGGTCTATGACAGGGGTCTTCAAACTTGGCAACTTTAAGACTTGTGGGCTTCAATTCCCAGAATTCCTCAGCCAACCCTGGCTGGCTGAGGAATTCTGGGAGTTGAAGTCTACAAGTCTTAAAATTGCCAAGTTTGAAGACCCCTGGTCTATGAGTTTAATTCCTGGTAAAGGGTTTGAATTCCATAGAATACATCTGAGGAATCCAAATAAGAATGAACCTGGTCACGTAGGGCCTCTTGGTGATGAGTTTGACTGGAGTTAAGTCTCCCCTGGCAACTTTGCCATCCTACAGCTACAGAAGAAGTATGTGGATCCCAGCAGGGGCCACAACCAGCCATTCTGGAATGTGAACCAAGGACTGCTCTAGAGCAGCCGTCATTTAGTTTACCTCAGAACAGCATACAAAAGTGCTCAGAAAAACAGAAGGGGTCACAAAGTATTGACTGCAAGGGTGTCCAAACTTCTGCAACTGCATACATTCCCTGTTTTCTTATTTTGAAAGGGTAAGCAAGAGGTTCTACCCACAGACTGGAATTTTCCAATAAAGAAAGGCGGGGGGAGGGGAAAGGATTAATAACAACAGTAATCCCCAGTTCTATAAATATCTTAGAGTTCGTTATGCAAAAACACTGTTTTGTGCAAGCAAAAGAGGGTAAGTCAGTCTATAGTTGAACTCCACATTTGCCCCGGAGCCTCTGAATATTAGAAGGAGCTTCTGTTATATACCTTCTACATAAATGGTATACTGTATAGAAGAGAAGAGATTTATAATCAGCCCCACCAGCAGAGCCAATTAGCAAATGGGTTGTGTTCAGTAGTATGACCCTCCCAAATACAACCTTAGGGGTTTTTTGTCCCAGTTGAGATATGTTCATATTCAGATTTTTTCCCCCTCCCTTTGCTCAGCCCATCCCAAAGTTCTCAATTCCATCACAACTTTCTGTGTGAACAAAGAGAAGTCCAACTAAATGTGGCCAAGATCAATCGAGTACAGCATTCTGTTTCCCACAGTCATCAAACAGATGCACTGTGGGAAGACCAGAGGCAGGACTTGAGAGCAATTCTATCTTCTGACATTACTTGCTCATCACTGGCATTTAGCACCAAACCTGCCTTTGAATATAAAGTACCGTGAGAAGTCAATGAACCTCTTATATATCAACAGGACATTATAAAAATCATAGGCTCAAGGCCAAGCTTCTGAAAACTGAAAGTCACATTTTTAAAAGAGAAAAGCAAACGCCAGGGCAACATAGTAATGTTTCCCTAAATAAATTCTGAACCCAGTTTAAGGATCACGAAGGTATAATTCTAAAATAAGTGTTTGTATTCTGTTTTTCTTCTGCAGAACTCAAGACTAGGGTTCTCCCCTGGTCCTTACCGGTATCATAAGCCTCCCGAGTTTGCCCTAATAAAGAGGCTTGCTCAGCACAATGCTGAAAGAAATCACAAAAGCATTAATGAACTCTATATTCACCCAGATACCAAATGAATCCCAGCTTCTGAGGCCTCTGAGGAATCACAGATGGATAACAGATGGTCAAAGGTCTCCCTAAACCACTGCTTCTGCTGATGAACAGGTGTGCCTGCAAGGAAGAAAGAAAACACATTTCAAACGGAGGGAAAGCATTTGAAGAAAATCCAGAAACAGCAGACATAAAACGGGCTGCACTGAAATTTATGCATTGGATACAAACTGCTAATGGAAGGTTTTGAGAATCAAGCAGAAATTCCACACAGGAGGAGAGGGACAGAGATGGTGTCCTGGAAACACCCGCGCCCCCCCCCCAAAAAAAATTCCCCATACTATTTGTTATTTTGGAAGTTAATCTAGACCTCCAGGACAAATTTTCCAAAAACACAAGGAATTGTAGAGGGGAAGAAGGAGGAATCATGATGGTCTTTTTACCACTCCTCTCCTCCAGCAAGAGCAGAACTCTTCCTAATGAGCCATTTCTCCACATTTAGCTAAAGAAGTGGAATAAAGTGATGTGAGACCATAGTTTGGTTTGCATAGAGGCTAATTACATAAAATGATGGTTGATTCTTCCTGTGAGCCCTAACTACAAATGCAGCTGAAAACAGGAGCCGCTAGCTCAGGGATGTCAAATTGCCGGCCCGCAGACTGGATGCATCATGCCAAAACTGCACCCACCCCAGCTCCGGCAATGGGGAAAATGTCACCATATGTTGTGACACGTCACGTAACATGGCGAGTTTGACACCCCTGCACTAGCTCCAGAGATAAATGGCTAGTACTTGCGGTGAGATGTAGAGGTAGTAACAGAATTTATAGAGCATAGAATCATATGGCTGGAAGGGACCTGAGAGGACTTCTAGTCCAACCCCCTGCTCAAGGCTGGAGCCTTATATGATCCCAAATGGTTGTCCAGTGTATTTTTGAAAACCTCTCATGATGGAGCACCCACAATTCCGGGAGGCAAGCCATTCCATTGAGTAATTATTCTTACTGTCAGAAAATTTCTCCTTATTTCTGGGTTGGATTTCTCTTTAACAAGCTTCCACCCATTACTTCTTGTCCGGCCCTCTAGACAAGAATTCAGAATAAAGAAGAGGCTGTTGCATGGTCATTGAGGCACAATGGCAGACACAATGGGCAACCTTTGAGGCAACCTTGACTTGGTGATTTTACGGGGCATGTAGGCCATCCCATTTGTAATTTCTAAACAATGAAAGAGGAGATCTTTTAAGTATGCTACATTTTTCTCACAAAATGAGGGCAACCGTAAAGAGTATCCTGATATATATATATATATATATATATATATATATATATATATATATATATATATATATATATATATGGCTCCAACAAAGCTTCTCCCATTCCTGGTTATTCTATTATTGATACCATTCAGAATTTGACTAAATCGCTTACTTATTGGAAGGAGAGCAAGTGCAACAACCCAGCATCACATTTTTACCTAATTGAGATTCCCTCTTTGTAGAGTCTAATAATGCAAGAAATGAGGAGGGTAAATTAAAAATCACATGAACATTGATAGATAAAGTAGGAATGTTCCAAATAAGCCAACTGTAGAACATATCCATATATTATGAACCTATTGCCAAATACAATTTGTGTTATCATTGTCACCATCATCTTCAACAATTGTGTCATGGAATATAATATATGTACAACTAGAATGGCATGTGTAAAATGGCAGGAAACTATTATTCTCAAAATGGACAATTTATTTGGGGACTTTGTAACACTTATTCGTCAAACCTTAACATTGCCCAGGAAAATAGCTTTCAAGTATCCCTTGAAACTGCAGCTGTACTTCCTAGAATATTGATTTGGGGGCTACAAAATAAAAACTGGGAAAAAAATAGGCATAATATAAATAACTTGGACAACTTCAGATTTTGTTTTCCAATGTGTAAATTTTGCTTGCCTGGATAAAGATGTGGGATAAGCATTCCTGCAGCAACGTCACTGGTCGTGTTAGGAGAAAATCTATCAGCCATGACAGACACTCTGCAGTTTGTAATGGAGTCTGAAATGCAGACAGCAGTGGATAAGCCAATCAGACCAGCACCAACAATGACAATCTTTGCCTTGTCCATGTTCTGCTAAGAGAAAGAGGAAGAAGGGGTCTGAATTTAAAGAAAAGGCTTCTGCATGGCTGGTTGCCATGAAATCTACTCAACATAGCCATGAACTAACTAGGAGTTGAGTGCAAGCTAAAGGATACTGTTGCTAAAAAGATTACTTACACTGTGTAATTTGTATAATATCTCAAGTAATTCTATTACACATGCAGTATTTCATTCTCTGCAGAAAAAAACAAAAAGGTATGAAGAGGCTTTTAAGCCATAGACCAGAGATCCCCAACCTTTTGGGCACCAGGGACCAGTTCCATGGAGAGAGGTTTTTCCGCGGACCGGAGTGAGTGGTTTTGTGTGCTGCTTGCATTTCGCGGATGGGGCTCTGCTTGTTTCTGTGGACCGGTTGCTGGCATGCCGCGGCCCAGTACTGGTCCATGGACCGGGGGTTGGGGGACCCCTGCCATAGACTGTCCTGCTGGAGTGAAGGGGTTTAAAGAAAATATGACCATCTATATGCTTGACTGAATGGTCCTATTTGGAGAAAATTAAATCAGCAACTGTCCAGATGCATTATGAAGGTAGGTTGTTTCTTCTGGTTTAATATGTCATATAAATCCAGCTATTGGGATTCATAAAATATAAATTATTAATTAGTACACTGCAAAATGCAGCCAATTTTGCTTTTTTTTCCCCAATAAATAGTACTTTAAAAACTGGAATTGGCAGCTTGTAGCTGGCACTATTATATTTTGATACCAAAGCAAAAAGTAAGATAAACCAACTTTTCCTGCCTTGCTAACTTGCTAGCTGTGTTGGCAGTCAGAGGCAGCATTGATACATTCTCTTCTTTAAGCTAAGCCAAAGCCAGTCATTATTTGCTTAAAATCAAAGATCAGCACAAAATGTGGAAGATTCACCTCCAGTTCAAAAAAAAATAATCAATGCAAAACACGGCATGTGTAAAGAAAACTAGCAAGAGGCCTCATGCTGACTCTGTGCCCTTGACTGGAAGCATCAACAGAGGTGTTCAGAGACCTACTCTTAGGTCAGGCATATGTTATTTACTTGGTTAAAACTGCTTCTTCAAGGTTTTTCCAAGCAAGTAATTGGAAGACCAAGGTGGTTCTTTTTTTTTTTATTCTTGTGACCTATGATATTCACCACCTTGGGAGAGCTTAACTGATGTTATTAATGCAGCGTTCCATGTGCAATCAAGTTAACTAGCTGGAAGCAGTTAGAAAAAAAGCAAGGAACATCAAGACTATTATGAGAATTTTTAAACCAGCTGCTCAGAGGGAACAGTCTTCCCTTCCCTTCCCTTCCCTTTCCTTTCTCCTTTCCTTTCCTAAAGCATGCTGAACAAAAATCTATTCCCAGTTATTCAACTTGCTTAATTTCAACAGTATTCTTTCGTTGACAGAATTATCAAACCAATGAATCAGAAACCTTTGCCAATACTTTTCTGTTGCACATCCAGACCTGCTTTCTGCCCATCCCGGCATCAAAAATGGTCCACATCTGGACTGTTATCAAGTTTTAAAGAAGAACTATCTAGAAGAATCAGAATTTCCTAGTTTAACTTTATAAGCTACATTAATTCATAGGTGTAGATCAGGGGTCCTCAAAGTTGGCCCTTTTATGACTTGTGGACTTCAACTGCCAGAATTCCTCAGCCAGCGTGCCTAGCTGAGGAATTCTGGGAGTTGAAGTCCACAAGTCATAAAAGGGCCAACTTTGAAGACCCCTGGTGTAGATACACAGGTATGCCAGATAAGAGATCGGAGAGGACATCTGTAAGCTCTTCCTAAGTGCTACTGAAGTACAGTGCATTTCTCCTGTCCCTAAGCCAACAAGAAACTCACTAAGTAATTTGTGTTGTCCCAACAAACAAGTTTGAATCTGCCAAAGGAAAGAGGCTTGCAAATTATAATTTTATTGCAGGACAATTTCAGGGGAGAAATTGGCAGATTCCACTGACTGTTTCCCCTCTCTCCCAAAATCAGCATCAGGTAGGAAAAACTACCACCAATCCCAGTCCATGGAAGAAGGACCCACCCTGGGGAATGTAGCTTCACCTATCTTTCTAATCACCTATGTGATAGTTCAACAAGAGACTGTTTTCAAGAAGTTTTTTTCTGCTGACAGGGCACTAGGGCAGAGGGCACCCTGCAATGCATTAAGACCATTCTCCACTCCACTGCACAGAAGCTACTGGTATCCTATAACAAGTCAATCAGCCTTCCTGTCACTTGAGCTAGAAGGGATCTGGCAGAGAACACTTACCGCTTTTACTCCAGCTCCAGAATATCCCACATTAATAATGTTACCAGAGAATGAGTTGTCAGCAAGTAGTTGCACCTGGAATTATCCCAAGGGGGCAAAATAGCACTGAATAGGAAAAATGGCACATTCTAACTTCCAAAGTCATAAAAAAGGTAATAAATCTGCCAAACCCTTTGTTGGCAAAAACAAAACATTTTGAGTTTTTGGAGGCAGAACCAGCAATATAATTTTTCTTCCCTTTTAAATCAACCCACAGCCCCTTCCTTTTTTTCCCCTGGATCTAGTGAAAGACTCTTGAACATTTGCTTAATGATATTATCTTTGTTTATTGGTGAAATAAAACAGATGGAAGTAATATAACCACAACAGCTCAATAAAACATATGGATAGAGTTAATAACTGTACCATCAATATACCAAAGTTTTAAGAAATTGGAAATGCACTTCCTATGATTTAGAGATGAAGTTAATTTATCAGAACATTTTGCTTCATTTGTATCGAATTCCTCAATGAATGTTTGAAAAAGGACGGATCAAAGCTTTTTCTGTTGGTATTTTAAGACATTTGAGGGTTCTTTTATCTGCATGATTTTGTCATGTTCCTTCATGATCCTTTTTTGGCCCCACATTAATACATAGGATAACACAACTTTTCGAAAAAGCATAATAGTTACGCTTTTCAAACTTGGCAACTTTTAAGAACTGTGGACTTCAACTCCCAAAAATTGAAGCAATATGTTTATATATGGTTTAGATTTCATGTTACAAGATTTAACTAATTTTTATTAATATAGTATTTTCCTTTTTTCTTAAAGTAAAAAAATAAAGAGATTGATTTTATTTTAACCATATGTTTAATAACAAGTCCAGTGGTCTACCAGAAGACTGCTACTTTCCAAAGGCATGTCAGGCATGCTTCATCCATTCCTTTATAGAATGTCAAGACATTCTAGATCAGGTTTTTTTTTTCTAAATCAGACATTGTAGGTCAGGGATCTTCAAACTTGGCCCTTTTATGACTTGTGGACTTCAACTCGCAGAATTCCTCAGCCAGCGTGCCTGGCTGAGGAATTCTGGGAGTTGAAGTCCACAAGTCATAAAAGGGCCAAGTTTGAAAACCCCTGTTGTAGGTCAACATGCTGGCTGGGGAATTCTGGGAGTTGACGTCCACACTTCTTAAAACTGCCCAGCTTGAAAAGCACTGCAGAAACTAGTGTCCAGTTTTTCCCGCACCCTAAGCCAATCTAGCCACAGATGGCAGAGCTCAAAAATGGGGGAGCAGGAGGAGGGGCAGGAAGGGAAAAAGAATGTGCCCACATCAGCCTCAAACAGCCATTGTCAGTCCATGGCTACAGCATTATGTGCAAGTGTCACATATCACTTGCATGCCATTAAATATGACAGGAGAAGGCAGAAACTTTTAAAATGTAAGGTAGATAACCGCTAGATAGCCAGGCAGCTCTCTCTTATTATAAATGCTCAATTGTTGCCCCCATTTTACAAAGGCCCAATCACACCTATACTAAAAACATGGATATGTGTGCTTGCATGTGCTAGCCATTTAAAAACAATATTTCATTTTTTGAATGGAGTGAGGAATGACCCTTGTGGTCTTTAAATTGTTTTTTCTTTCTAGCTATAGTAGTCTGAATCATAGTAGCAGACTGAATCATTTTCAATTAGTCAGCTGCAAAGAGAGGTTAATGGTGTTCCCATCCTGTCCTCAGTATCCAATGGCTGCAAAAGGGAAGATGATCCCACCAACAATGTGCAAACAGTTTGCAGTGATTGGGGAACTGAAATATTGCTTTTTTGAAGTGTACTAAATAATATTAATATTATTATCATTAATAATAATAATAATAATAATAATAATAATAATAATAATAATAATAAAGTTGGAAGGGACCTAGGAGGTCATCTAGTCCAACCCCCTGCTCAGGCAGGAACCCTACACCATTTCGGACAAATAGCTGTCCAGTCTCTTCTTAAAAACTTCCAGTGTTGGAGTATTCACCGTTTCTGGAGGCAGGTTGTTCCATTGGTTAATTGTTTTAACTGTCAGGAAGTTTCTCCTTAGTTCTAAGTTGCTTCTCTCCTTGATCAGTTTCCATCCGTTGCTTCTTGTCCTGCCTTCAGGCGCCTTGGAGAATAGCTTGACTCCCTCTTATTTGTGGCAGCCCCTGAGATATTGGAGCCCTGCTATCATATCCCCCCTCGTCCTTCTCTTCGTTAAATTAGACATACCGAATTCCAGCAACCGTTCCTTGTATGTTTTAGCCTCCAGTCTCCTAATCATCTTTGTTGCTCTTCTCTGTACTTTTTTTAGCCTCTCAGCATCTTTTTTACATCGTGGTGACCAAAACTGGATGCAGTATTCCAAGTGTGGCCTTACCAAGGCGTTGTATGACAATCTGGCACTGAGATTTATGGCACAGGGTATCAATTTGACATGTAAGTGCTAATGTACATATATGCTCAAAAAACACTACCTAAGAATATACCTTTGCTCCAGAATTACCGTAGATTCTGATTTCATCTTTGATTTATATATAAATAGATGCAGTTTGTGAAACAAGTTGGGTTTTTTTTAATGGGTTTAAACAGGATATCTTTTGTAATCTGTTTGAAAATAGCTGAAAAGCCTGAACTTTCTATGCAGCTTTGCCATTTTACTGATCTGTTTGTTTCAAAACAAGAATTTGAACTTTGAACTTGGCAAGAAAAAATCCGGTTGATAATTTCCCAAATACATTACTTGGAAAGGGATAGCAGTTAAAAGAACAGCTGAGGTATTTGTTCTTTATCCCTTCTAGGAATGAATACAGCAATATTTTTTTTTTCAAACTGTGTGGATTCCTGCCATAGCCATCCTTTCAAATGTCATATAGCAAAAGGTTTGGTAGACTAAATGGCTTTTTAAACCTCTCTGAAGACCCTCTCAAAGTTCTCTTTGGGTACTTGACAGACAGGCTTACAAATTGAAGATGGCTAGCTAAACCCTTCCCCCCAATTAACTTTCATGTTTTATTTGCAAACATTCATGCTTTTTTTATTAAGGTATGATTTTAGATATTAAAACTACATATACAACATACTTTATTTCATTAACTAGAAAAAACAAACAACTGCTGTCATGGGAATTCTGAGAATTGAAATCCATACATATGAATGATCCCCAGTTGGAGAAGATTGCTCTGGAAAGCATATACTGTACATTGGTTTGATTCACAGATCATGTAGAGCAGACATGTCAAACTCGCGACGTCACATGACATCGTGCAACGTATCGGAACAGTTTTGCCACTGCCGGCACTGGGGTGGGCATGGTTTCTGCGTGACGTGGACAGTCCATGGGCCGGCAGTTTGACACTCCTGATGTAGAGTGTTGACTTTTATTGCTAAAGAAATTATTTGTCTTAAGACTACTTTCCCACCATTCTGTAATCTGCAGAAAGATTAAAATTCACAATCTACAGCTATAATTCAGAACCTGACAACAAAAAATGAAGAATTCACTTAAAGAATCAAAGCTATTTGGCTCCTAGAACTGTTGCTTTGATTTCTGAATGAACCTTCAAATATTATCATTGTCATCATCCTACAGTGTTTAAACGATAGCATCTTGAATGTGTCAATGTCCCCTTCCCAAATAGTGGGATGTAGCTAACAATATGCTAATTCTACACCAGTATATAACAATACATTAGTTTGCGGGATAATTTCTAGATTAGTGATATTATTTTGCATGGAACACCTTGGCTATTTGGGGGAAAACTGATTGTACTTGAGGCACGCTCTTATTTTATGAGAAAACCTTATGTGGAGGCCTTAATTGATTAAAGAATTGATGGCAAGGTATAGAAAAGCCAGCTATAAAAATTAATTTGTGAGAAAGCAAATTGATACTTCCTGTTATTTGCACTATCTCAACTACCTAGCTTTTATTTACAACTGAATTTCTTTTGAGAAAATGGGTACACTCTTAAAGAAAGTACTGAGTTCCAGATACTTGCCAATTTTATTTTCTTAAGGATACTTATGGAATCCAGTGGCATTCATGGATATGAAGACAAAGCTGAAGAGAGCTGGTGCTTTACTTTTGCAGAATATAACTTTTTTTCTAAATTAAAAAATATAGAAAGTCAGTTAGGGCAGGAAATTTGCTTTGAAATTTACTTTCTGCAATGCAGTCTTCTCTTGTCAGTGTTACATGATGAACGATCATTCAACTCCTAAACAATAGTGTGCATTTTTAAGGGCTTTAAAGGCTGGATCATAGATATATGTCTATGACTACTCCATAACCAACAACTGAAATCAAGCTTAATAAGACATTTGAATGTGGTTTCGTTCATATACTTTAGAAGCTGCTAGAACAAGGAAGAAATGGATTAAAAGTTATAGTTTATTTATTTAGCTACCCATTTCAATTCAATTGATTGACTCATAATGCTTGGCAAAGGCTCTATATAAATAAAGCACCCTTCTCCTCTTCAACTGCTATTTCCTCTTGGCAAATAGAGACAGGGAGAAATAATTTCTGCCTGAAAAGCCTGTCCTTCTTCTAGCTGAATTTAACTTTTTTTTAAAGAGATACTGTGATTATAGACCACCTAAATTTCATTAAGTTTACATTTGTTCCCATTTGCTAGTTTAGATTATATTAGCCTAGATTCCCTTTTACACCAACTAACAGTAAAGGGCTGTATAGTCAGGGGTAGGCAACCTTGGCTCTTTTATGACTCGTGGACTTCAACTCCCAGAATTCCTGAGCCAGGCTGGCTCAGGAATTCTGGGAGTTGAAGTCCACAAGTCATAAAAGAGCCAAGGTTGCCTACCCCTGGTATAAGTTGTTGCTCAAAATAACATAAAGCTCCAGTTCAAAGAGCTCTGGGATAGGCTCAAACATGTTGAAGATTTGGAGTACTTCTAATTTTCTATTATTTCCATTCTCAATTGATAGTTGATCCACTATTACATTGATGGTCAACCACTTTAAAACCCAAATACTATGGGAAAATAGAAATTTCACCTATGGGGATTTGAGGTAGGCTGAAACCAGAATGGGCTGACCTACAGTACTGCAGAGCTTCAAAAGATCTATCGTGGCTTCCCATCCAAAGCTGCTGTACCAATACACTGACTCAATTTTACTCTATCAGTTTTTAATATTCTTTGTCTAAGAATGTGGTTAAGCACGCTACCACATTTACACTATTTTTACACAGACCCAAACCTTATGAAATAAGTTAGAATGGACCTGCAGGTGTCCTCACTATCTTTGACCACAAACACTTGACCAATATGGGGCACAAAAAGCAGCATTCCAGTCAGCCCCCCTTTCCCTTGGTAAAGTGCCTCCTTTGGTGGTCTTAACAAAACTTTTTTTCTTGCAAGGAGGCAAAAGACAATAAGATTACAAGGCAGTCTCTTCTCTATCTCCAATGAAAAGTGAATGAAAATTCTTGCCAATGAGAAACTGACCGTTTCCATATATGAGTGTCCCATAAATTAAACAGTAGATTTGTCAAGCCAGAAACGCATCAAATCAGCTGCTCAATGTAAAAAAGCCACATGGAAAAACAGGGAAGCAGTACATGGACCCTCAAACAAGGCCACAGCTCCATTTGGATATTTATTTTTAAAAAAGAACTTATCAGATCAATACTGAACAACACAAGATATCTCTCTTTTTCTGCTCCTCCTGGCTTCCTCACCATCTTGCTTGAAGTCAGAGACTTGTGATTACTGGATCTTATGAATAAAAGTTTAGTTAGGCTAATAATGGCATTGCCTTCATATGGATTTTGAATCTTTTGCTTACTCAAAAGATTCAAAAGCCCCTTTTCCAAGGAGTAGCTCCTGTTCCTAAATAACTGTGTATCATTTTTTGCTGAGCGTTTATAACAGATAAAGCTTTCTTAGAGATTCATCAAAGTTAATCATTAAGGAGTCACCAGACATTTTGCTTATTTTTAGTGCAAAAGGTCAGTAACTCTGGAGGCTGCATTGCTCCAATAAAATAAGAAGATAGCAGTTTAACGAATATTAGAATATCTTTTTCCCAAAGCACTTTAATGCTATCAGAAGTAGGAGTGTATAAATACTTCCCACTAAGCTTCCTTTATGAATGTTAATGACATCACTTTTCAAGAATATCTCAAGCCATTTTGTCTGTGTTGTTCAAAATATCGTTCTTCAAAAGATACTTAAGGCAAGGACAAATAGAAAAAGAGCTGTTGATGGTTTGACCAATATCAGGAAAGAGCAATTTCTCCATAGCTGCAAAAAAAAAAACCACACCTTATGTTGCTGTAAAGTACAAGAACGTACGTTTCATTTATTTACTTAAGAATTGAGTAAATAACCACGTATTACGTGGGGAAGGGGAGGGGGGTAGAAATACCTTTCTCCACAGAAGAAACCAGACGCTTCCGCACAGAAGAGTTGCGTATTAGAGAAAGCAGGAGGGCCAAGCTTACGTCGGAAAAGGTGAACCAAGTGGGCGGAGTTATCATGATTAGCTAACTCTACTAGATTCTGATTGGACGGAATGGGCGGAAAAAAGCACTTGGCCCTTTTCGCCTCTCGCGCGTGCGCCCGCCCTCTGAAGAGGGTTTGTGAAAAATGCGGCTTTCGCAGCGATTTCATTTTGAGGCGGCAAATTTGGGAACTGTTACTACTACTGGTAGCCCAGCTGCTGCTTTGCTATAGTATTTTTAATCAGAGCGGCTAAATTGTACAGGCACAATAGTAATAAAAAACATTCAGATAACATGTTTGGAGTAGAGTTTCCCAACCTTTTAGGGCTGGCAGCCTGGAGGGTGGGGGGAAAGAAGAGATGGTTTTGTGGGAGGGGAGGTGAATGCATGTGCATGCATGCGTGCACGGACGAACACCATTGATCATGCAAGTGGGGGCTTGAGTGCCCACAACACAGCAACACTCATGCGAGTGGGGCCGCGAATGCCTGTGATGGTGCTCTCGTGAGTGGGACCACAAATGCCTGTGATGACGCTCGCATGAGTGGAGCCACGAACACCCGTAATGCTCATGGCAAAGAACGCGCAAGTGGGGCCGCAAATGCCCACGACAGTTACAGTGAAGCTTGCACAAATGAGGCTGTGTGCTCTCTCGCGCGCTCTCTCTCTCTCTCTCTCTCATACACAAACATACATGCATGTCCCACAGGTTGGGGACTCCTGGAATAGAGGATTTCTAAGGCTCCTTCCTGCCCTGTTAGTCTACAATCATATGAACTTAGCCAAATATAGTTCATTAGTTAAATTAAGATGAATGAAACCATGGTTTAACATGATAAGAGTCCAGTCACTAAGCTAATTTTCAGATTCATTTGATGGAAACAGTTGCAATTGTTCTGGGTTTACATGGAACTTTTATGTCTTTCATTGATTTATATCACACCTTTCACTGAACCACAACCTTGCCATTCATTTTTTAACTTTGGGCATTCCACAGCCCATATCTATCAATTTTGGAAATATTAATCCAACTATTAGATCTACCTCCACTTTGCCTTGTAACTTCAAACGGTCACAAGACAAATCATTGCAAGTCAAGGATTAGCTGTATACTATTGCCAGCATACAATACATTATTAAAAACTGGAGTAGATTCTCAACATAATGCACATACTTTTTATTATTTGAGTTCTTTCATGTATTGGTTTCATTCGATATTTTCATGTTGCCTCCATGCACTTGTAATGGGAGCCTTGGGTTCCACATTGAAAGTAGATTTGCTTTTAGAGGCATGAAAACCCACATACCTATCTCAGTTTCAAGAGCACCAAACATGGAAAGAGCAACAAACACAAAAACCAGGAGCGTTGGGGTAGGGATAAAAAGCACTGACTTATTCTGGAGAAGCTGATGGAGGATGGATAGCAGGAGAGAAAGTACTGTTTTAAGGGCTGGTTTTATCCATTAATCTCTATTGACCTTCCAGAAGGAATAAGATAAACTAAATTAGCAAAGCACTGAGGAATCTTCAAAGGGGTTTGCTCAGAATTAATATGATGCATCAACAATTGTCATGCAACATCAGTCATGGAACAAAGTGCAAGGGTCCTGATGGATTACCTGGAGCCTAACTTCACAAAGTTTTTTTTTCTTCATTTCTGTATGTATATCAATGGAGATTCTCAGGCATCTAGGTCCTGGATTTCCTAAAGGTGCTGTTAAAAAGGCAACTGGACTTTCTTGTTGTTTTTTTCTTTCTGTATACACCGTTTCCACTTCTCTGATTTATTATATTCTATTTTTATTTGTTCTTGGTTTTCTTGACAATCCCTGCACATTTTCTTCAAAATGTTCCCAGGCCCCTTTCTCCCAAATTTGCCGAGTTCAATTTTGTAATAAGAATTGAAGCATATATACATTTTTCTAGACTCTGCAAGTTATTAGACATTTTCAAGAGTGTTACTTTTAACACCATCTGATTTCAGTTGTGTTCTCCCAAACATACTAAAACTACATCAAGAAACAGTATTGTCTTCCATCTGCATAATGCTGATATCTAGGACAGGGTCCATGAAAGTTAAAGGATGCCTGTTTCTTTTCCTTTATTGATGCTAGGCAATATACAGATAAATCACTGCAATACAAAGTGAGTGTTCCTACACTGCCATACTTCTTCCGGAAATCATGAGTTTCTACTTTCTTCTGGTGTTGGCTGTTGCTGATATAAGGACTCCTGAGAGAGGTTTTCAAAATAAGCAGAAAGAGAACATTTTCTCTGTGTGTGTCTCAGAAAAATAATGCACATTACTCCAGCTGCTAGCTAGATGATTCAGAAAAGCACCCTGAACAAGGAACTAGGTCATATGTCTCTCTTCTTGAGAAAGCAAGAAAATGTTCGTTACATGGCACATGGATTGTCTGTTAGGATGTTGCAGATAAAATCACACAAGCTGGCTAAAAACCAAAGGGATAATTTTATCAGTCAGTGCCATGTGCTCCTTGGTTTAGCATTTCCATTTTCTCCAGTGTTGCATCATTCTGTGCTGGAAGAGATTTTTCTGAAGGGCTTTTTTTGGTGACCCGGTCATCTAGCTCTGCAGCTTCTGCCCACGTATTTGTCAATGGTCTTCCAAGTGTTTCTGGTAGCAGCAGTGTTAGCACACCGGTCAAGAAGGCCATGATTCCAACAATCAACTAAAAGAAAGCAAATGTCATTCAAATGAGCTCAAGAGAGAGACGATGCAAAAGGATACTATACAACTGAAATGCACTCATTGCTGCCACTGTATATTGGAAACACTGATATCTAGAATCTCATTAACAGGTGGCTTTTCATTTCCATTGCTAAGCAAGGCAAGTTGTCAATCTTGCCTGATTTTACAATCTTTTTTGCCACTATTGTTAAGTGAATCACTATCTTTGTTGAATGAATTGTGTGGTCATTAAATGAATCCAGCTTCCCCTATTGACTTTGCATGTCAAAACTAGCTGGGAAGATCACAGTGGAGATCACATGATCCCACGATACTGCAAATGCCATAAATACATACCAGTTGCCAAGTGCCCAAATTTTGATCATGTGATCATGGAAATCCTACAACGATAGTAAGTGTGAGGCCCATTAACTCAACAAATGGCTCAACAAATGGTTTTAAGTTTAGGACAGCCTGTTTATGTCCAACATAACCTCTTAAAAACCCAGCTGAAGAAACTTTTAATTTTTTTTTTAAATTCTAGAATTTTTAGCTAAACGGAAGTAATCTACTCTTAAAGCGCTACAAAGAGTCATCAGCCTCAGCTCCAATAGCAATGCCTAAAACACACTTTTCCATTTTAAGATTTTTAATGTTGTTCCTACATTGATTTATTTATTTGGGCTTTTTATGGCCCTAGAAACAGTTGTTTAAAAATATGGCTATAATGTAAACTTTTCAAACTCTTCATATTGTGTTTCAATTAAATAGCAATAATTATAACAAATTCAATCATAAGTAAGATCAGCAAAAGCTGATTAAGCTAGCCATGTTAAGATAAATTACCAATAGGTGGGGGAGCTAATAAAATCAAGGGAAAGTAAATAAATGATTAAATTTCCAGCAAAAACTCATTATGCAGGTCGCTTGCCTAATCTCTATTAAAAGTAATTCTACAATTGGGCACTGTTACCTCTGTATTGTGGCTGAAAGCACATCAGTAAGCCATGTTATGATCAGCAATGCATTCTCCCCTCAGTGCAAAGATATGATGGGCAATGTTTTTCAAACTTGTCCACTCTTAAGATACATGGACTTCAACTCCCAGAATTCTCCAGCCAGCCCGGAGACTTGAAGTCCACACAGATTAAAGTTGACAAGTTTGAAAGTCTCTGCTGTAACACTAAATATTCTCAAACACTAAATCTTCAAATCACTTCTACAGTAGAATCACATCTCTAAGCACTGTACTATGTCCTAGCTAGAATTATCCCTCTAAATAAAGGTTAGGGCAGAGAAAACACTGAGAGAAAAAGTACATATTAGCACAGGCTTCAAGTGAAGGATAAATCAATTTAGCAGCTGGTAGTTCTCAGACCCAGACATCTAAATATTTTTTTCTTCATTTTAATTGGATGTTAGTCTTAGATATGGCATCTACCTGTGGGAAGAAGATCCAAACACTTGATAGATAGACGCAAAAAGGTGCAACCACACTCCCAACTCGGCACATCATACTCCCACTTCCAACAGCAAGGGACCTACAATACCAAAAATGGTATTATTCGCTTGAATTGTCCAAATTAAGTGGCTACTGTTGCAGCAGAAAATATTTTCCGTAAAGTACCATTAATGCTAGCTGTAAAGAAGGGGGGAGGAAACTCACCGTACAACTGTTGGATAGAGTTCTGCCGTATACAAGTAGATAAGGCCAAATGCAATTCCTATTGCAAATTTTCCAGCCATGTTTGCTACTATACTCAGAGTATTGAAATCCTATTAAGAAGAAAGACAATTTGTAAAGCATGTGGAGAGAGAACTCACCTTTAATTTTATCCTTGTGTACCAGAACTCATGTAAAACTTCTAAACATGAAGAATCCATTTTGTTCATCCAGTTCACAACAGACAAAGAGTCAGGCTTCCTTTATTTAATAGTTAATTCCATTTTTTTGTATGTAGACCCCATATTTTGGAACTCATTATTTCCAGAGGTCCATGAAGTCCCCCCTCCCATTGTTTTTAGAAGAAATCCTTATAGACAGTTTTATTTGATCAAATTCTCAATCCTAAGTAAGATTTATTAGTGTCTATCCTGGGAGAATGCTGAATTATTATTTTTCTTTTCTTACATAGTTGTGTTTTGTTTTATTATAGTGTATACAGTTTTGAAATATAACCCACCCAGAGTCTTTTGAGCTATGTGAGCTAGAAAAACTGTACAATAATAAAAGTCATCTGTCATGGTTCCGACAGACAGAGACAAATAAGGCTTGCAAGTTCCTCAAAGAACATGTTTATTGATACAAAGTATTGGCACGTCAAAAGGGAAACTAAGTCTGAATAGACACATAACAATCTCCAATACAAAGTTAAGAAATCCCACCCCTAAAGCTATGCAAGCTACTACGTTCCCCAATACATCTCCTTGGCGGGCTTTTCACGAAACACCCAGCCTGCAGTCCCAGGAGCAGCCAATGACCTTGGTTCCCAAGGGAGAAAATCTATTTAGTCTAGTGAAGCACCTGGTAAACCCCCCTCCCTCTGTGCTATGTGTCAACTGAAAAGGAGTAGGGAAACTGGCTGCAGCCACGCTCATTTTCAAAGTTGACACTATCATCATAAGCCAGTGATGGCGAACCTTTTAGAGACCGAGTGCCCCAAAACTGGCCCCAGCCCCACCCCTGCCCGCCCCCACCCTGCCTGCGCACAAGGCCATTCACCGCCTCCAGGGCCTGCTGCAAATCGCCCAGACAGCCCAGCAGCGCCATGGTGGCCACACCCTCTGCCTGCGCCTCGCAGCATCAACTGTGCGTGATGGGGCGTGAGGACAGAGTCTTGTCTATGTTGCCTGGCTGCCATGTCCTTGGCTGTGCTGCTCCGCATGGGCCATGCTCGGGGGCAACTCTCCTTTAGGGGGCTGCTGGTGAGGAGGGGGTCGCAGGGGGAGGCAAGGCTGGGGCAACAGTACGTGTGCCCACAGAGAGGGCTCCGAGTGCCACCACTGTCATAAGCCATCAGCCATTAGAAGAACTATTTGTAACAAGTTTATCAACTGCTCTTGCAAGATTTTGCAATTTCATTTTTTAAGGTCCCTAAAAATATGTTCATAGGAATGTTACATTCACAAAAGAATGTTAATTCACACTTCAAATCACAGACTGTAAAGAGGTTATTTTGGCTCAATGTGGGAAACCAAATACCTCAAATGTGTTCCTACAGGCTCCAATAAGTTCTAGGTGTTGAATCACTCACCTGAGGTATGAGCATCACTATCCCACAGATCACTGCACTCATGATGAGGAATGGGATCAGGGTATTCCTTCGCCCTACTCTGTCCATTCCCAGGCAGGCAATGGCATATGCTGGAAGCTCCACAGCACCTGCCATTAGAAGATTAGTGGTTTTTTAGAAAGTTCTTAACTACATAAAGACACAGCAGCATTAATACTTTCCAGCAGTTTTTCTGTTTCCTAGAGAAATAGCTCTTTTTTTCATTCAATTGACCTGGTGGTATACTTAAGTCCTTGCATTTACACAAAGGGTTTCATATCCCCAACAAATATAAGCTGAGTTTTTCAGCCTGCTTTTTTTAATGTTTCTTCTAGGCATATTGGTTCAACTCCCATAATTCCTACCCCATAAGAATGCTGACTAGGGATTATGGAAGTTGGAATTAAATCTGAACAACATTGGGTTGGGGAAAGCTAACATAGGCGAATAACCTTGTATGTCTTACTCTTCTTTATTCCCAAAATGGGAGTAATAAGATATGATCTAGCTCATAAAGGTGGTGCAAATATTGTATGTAATTAACAGAAATGCACTTGCCATTGAAAAAAGATGCTCCAGAGAAATGGACATTGGCTATCCTACTTACCTCTACAATATGTCTTTTTAAAGAAAAGAACTCTTCAAGATTCAACCACTTCTTTGGACATAACTTTGTAATGGTGACTCGTCTTGTAATGTATACTTAGTGTGGAAGGGAAAACACTTTTAAGCATGGCAATTAATTGGTATGCATATACTGATCCAGAATGATCCCAAATAACAGGAACAATCTATATAAACTGAACTATTTTGAGGCCCACTAATTTCAATGGAAGGAATGGGGCGTTGACTTACCTGAACGCCTTTTCTCAGCAGGATGATGTAGAGTCCAATGGATGGGTTCTATGACAGCCTTCCTGCCCGGCAGACTGGGTAAAAACTTTGGCCACACCCCTTCCTCTGGACGTGACCCCAGTTTTGACTTAGGCGAGAAACTTTGTTGGAATCAATATTGCAGCTCTTTATTATCTACCTGCCTAAACCTAACCCCTGGGTGGGCTTGGACTCTACATCATCCTGCTGAGAAAAGGCGTTCAGGTAAGTCAACGCCCCTTCTCCAGCATGATGGCTGTAGAGTCCAATGGATGGGACATACCAAAGCCCTCATGTCCCCCTGGGAGGGAAAGTCTAGGCTACCGAATTCTGAGCAGATACGACTTGCTGTGGCACTCTTCTACCAAAGGCAGCATCTGATGCGGCCAGGGAGTCTAAACAGTAATGCCGGATGAAGACAGACGGTGAAGACCAAGTCGCTGCCTTACAAATTTCTTCTACCGGCGCTTGTGTTAACCACGCCGCCGAAGTGGCTGCGCTCCGTGTTGAGTGGGCAGTCACATGTGCGGGAGCTGGTAGTTCCTGCGAGACGTAGGCCTGGGCTATGCAGGCTCTGATCCACCTACCTATGGTGGAAGAAGACACCTTCTTTCCCATAGATGATGGTTGAAAGGAAACAAATAATGCTTCTGTCTTGCGGAATGCCAACGTGCATTTCACGTAGAAACACAGCGCTCTACGCACGTCCAGCTTGTGCCATCTATGCTCTAGCCTGTGTTTGGGTTTTGGGCAGAAATTGGGAAGAATCAATTCCTGAGATCTGTGAAAGATGCTGTTTACCTTCGGAATGAAGGCCGGGTCTGGCCTAAGGACGACCCTGTCCTTGAAAAAGGTACACAGATCCTTCCTTACTGATAGTGCCGCTAGTTCTGAAATTCTCCTTGCTGAAGTGATTGCCACGAGGAAGGCCACCTACAGCGATAGGTGGTGAAGCGAACATGAATCAAGGGGCTCAAATGGTGCTGATGTCAAGGCTAGAAGGACTTTAGGCAGGTTCCAAGACGGGTACCTGTGAATGACAGGGGGCTTTGTGTTGGACGCCCCCTTTAAAAAGGCGCTAATCGCTGGATGTTGCGCTAGGGATGTTAAGTTGTCACAAGAGAGAACAGTTGAGAGGGCCGATATCTGTCTGCGAATAGTGTTGACTGATAGGCCCTTGTTAAGACCCTCCAGGAGGTAATCTAGAATATTGGGGATGGATACTGCAGCTGGATCTAGGCGCACCGAAGCGCACCACCTACAAAAGCCTTTCCATGTAGCATCGTAAATCCTGTTCGTGGACGCTCGTCGTGAAGCTTGTATGATCGATATCACCCCTGCCGAGTAAGCTTGCTCGGCTAAACTTTGCCGCTCAAATGCCAAGTGGCTAGTTGTAGCCACTGGGGATCTGGGTGCACAAACTTGCCCTGGCTGAGAGTTACTCTGTCCGGGGGAATCCTCCACGGGGGTGATATCGAAAGGTCCACGAGGTCGGCAAACCACGGGCGCCGTGGCCAATGCAGGGCAATGCAGACTATCTCTGCGCCTTCCAGGATCAGCTTGCGTATGGTCGCCGGTATTAAGGGCAACGGTGGGAAAGCGTACAGGTGCGCCGGCCACCGACACCTGAGAGCATCCGTTCCCTCCGACCCCGGAGACGGGAATCTGGAGAAGAACCTGGGGAGTTGTGTGTTCTTGTGGTTGGCAAATAGGTCCAGGTGCGGTTGCCCGAATCTCCAGGAGATCTCCTCGAACAGAGCCGGATCCAGGCACCATTCCGCCTGATCCACCTTGGCTCTGCTCAGGGAGTCTGCCTGGGTGTTTGCCTCCCCCGAGATGTGTTCTGCTTTGATAGAACTCACGTTGGTTTCTGCCCACCGAGCCAGAGCTAACGCCTCCTTCATTAGTTCCGCTGATCGCGTTCCCCCTTCCTTGTTTACATGGGCCTTGGCTGCTACATTGTCCGTTAACACGAGGACGTGCCTCCCTGTTACTAGATGTGAGAAATGGCGTAGGGCCAGGTGGATGGCCCGGAGCTCTAGCCAATTGATGCTGTGTGAGAGGTCCTTCTGGTCCCACTGGCCCTGTGCTATCTGGGTTCCCAAGTGGGCTCCCCATCCGAACAGGCTCGCATCTGTCGTGAGCGTGACCCTGTTCGGCTCTTTGAATATGCTCCCCTTGAGTATCTTGGGAGATATCCACCATTTCAGTGATCTCATCACCTGTGCTGGTACCAAGACCTTCCTGTTGGAGGTGCTGAGATTCCTCCTCTGGTAGGGTAGGAGGAACCACTGCAACTCCCTCGAGTGGAGTCTTGCCCATGGTATAATGCCCATGCAAGATATCATCTTTCCCAGGAGTTTCGAAAGCTGCATCAAGGGCACTCTCCTGATTCTCTGAATTTGGTGAATTAGCTTGGATATGCTGATTCGTCGATCCTGGGAAAGGTATACCCTGCACTGTGACGAGTCTATTACTGCGCCTAGGTGTTGCAGTCTCCTTGAGGGAGTGAGATGACTTTTGGCCAAATTGACCGAGAATCCATGCCCTTGCAGGGTTCGGATTGTGGTCTTGAGATCTACCCTTGCTTGTTCCTGAGATCTGGACTGGATCAAGATGTCGTCCAGATAGAACTGTACGCGAACCGGCATCAGCCTGAGATGGGCCGCTATTACAGCTAGAATCTTGATAAATACCCTTGGCGCTGAGGATAGTCCGAAGGGTAGGGCCCTGTATTGGTAATGTCGGCCCGCGTAGGTGAATCTGAGGAATTTCCGGTAACTGGGGTGGATGGGGATGTGTAGGTACGTCTCTGTTAGGTCTATTGAGGATAGTAGATCGTCTTCCCTGACGCTGGCTAGGATGGATTTCAAGGAGTGCATCTTGAACCTCCTGTATTTTATGTAATAATTCAGGCCCTTCAGGTCCAATATTGCTCTCCATCCTCCTGACGGCTTCGGGATAACGAAGAGGATGGAATAAAATCCTCTTCCTTCCTCTCCCCTTGGTACCTTCTCTATGGCTTGAATTGACAGGAGGTGAGCTATTACCAAAGTTAGCAACCTTGCCTTGTGTACCTTTCTGGAGATGGGACATCTGATGAACCGGCTTGGTGGGGGAGAACAGAAGTCTAAGGTCAGGCCATGCCTGATCGTTTCCAAGACCCAGGAGTCGGTAGTGGTCTGCTCCCAGACCTCGATGAAATTTCCTAACCGACCCCTGATGGGAGTGTCCTGTTTGGCGTCACTTGGTGTGCTTAAAGGATCTGCCTCCCGATCCCCTATATGGGCGTCTGGACTGGAACTGGCCTCTGGCTCCTGTGCTTTGGCGATCCTGGGGTCGATCCTGTCTCGGGTAGAAGGATCGCGAGCCTCTGGGCCAGTCCCAGGATTGCCCTGACCGAAAGGGCTGCCTCCATTCCCAGGGGCTTCCTGGGCGGGAGCCCTGTCTCTGGAAGTCTTGACTGCTTCTCCTATCAAACTTCTTTGATGGGTGTACTAATATTTTCCTCTTGTCTCTGCCTTCACTGACATGTGGGTCCAGTATGGACCCAAATAGGAATGCCCCGCTGTATTTGGACGTCGAGAGACGCCACTTGGACCTCAGGTCTGTCTTCCAATTTTTGAGCCACAGTAGCCTACGCGAGGCTACTGTGGCCGCAATGGATCTTGCCGCGTACTTCGTTGCGTACAGCGAAGTGTCAGCCGTGAACTGAGAGGCCGCGAGGAGTTTGGCCAATGTCTGGTGTACTCTGACCTGATCTGGAGGCACCGTGCTTTGCAGCTCCCTCAGCCACATGATGCAGGCCCTCACGAAGAATGATGATGAGGTGGCTGCTTTGGCCGCCCAGGCTGCAGCCATGTGGGAGCGACGGAGGGAGTGTTCAAATTTCTTTTCTTCCGGTTTCAAGGCTTCCGCCATGTCTCCTGGGATCGCGGAGGTAGAAAATAATGAGATCAAGGGGTTATCTACCGTAGGAACCTCTAACATGTTCAAGAATGAGGGAGAAAGGTTGAACAGCTTTCTTTCCACGCTATTGGGCGCCGGTGGGCTTGCCAGTGAGGACCATTGTTCCTCTACCGTGGTCATGAAGACCTCCGGACATGGAATGTACTTATCCCGTGAGACCTTTTTGGCAAATAGAGGATTGGCCTCCTTGCTTGTAGAGGGCATCTCTTCCTGTACTGAAGTTAGGCTGACTGTGGAGACTGCCTTTATCAGGAGTGATTTTAGGAGC